AAACAACTCCTGTGAAAGCACATCTGTATAAATGTGTTTTAAAGGAGGATAAAGTGCTTGCAGATCTGGTCTCCTCAGGGAGTCTGTTCCAGAGGGCGGGGGCTCCTACAGAAAAGGCCCGGTCACCTTTGGTCCTCAGCCTCGACTGTGGGACGGTGAGCAGAGCCTTGACTGAGGACCACAGGCTACGACCAGGCACATATGGGGAGAGGAGATCAGAAATGTATTGAGGTGCCAGTCCAGAGTGTGCTTTATAGGTTCACAATAAAATCTTCAAATCTATTCTAAAATTAACTGGAAGCCATTGAAGGAAGCTAAAATAGGAGAAATGTGATCTCTCTTTTTGGATTTGATGAGGAGTCGGGCTGCTGCGTTTTGGACTTAATGCTCAATTAGAATTTTTTAGTGAAATCAGATTTTTTTGCGAGTTTGTTTACATTTCCGATTAAATACAACTTGTATGTGATCTGCTGTGTGAACTTCATACGACCTCAAAGTGTCACAGAAGAGGACACGATAACACATGCTCAGTGTTTACAGAAATAAACACGGATGGTAGCGGTGGAGCGTATCTTGCGATTTTTAAGTTTTTTTAAAAAGTAGTTGTCCAACCAGAGCACATTTACAACATAATCTCCATGGTTGTGGTGGCATTCTATGACTCCGTTTACAGCCCTACCATTGTGTCAACAGGCTGTGCTTACACATTACGCTCTTCGCCAGGTGGAAGAAAAAGTAATGTCCACCAACTGTGTGTCATTTGGACAAGAGCTCAATAGTTTAGTTACTTTCCACTGTGCTCCTGGTATTGATGTACATTACCTCAAATGACTGAAGTATCAAAAGCATCAGTATTTTTGATTTGAGAATCGATTTTAGAGCATAAAGGTCTGGGGCCTGTACTACGAAGCAGGATTTGGAGTTAACGAGGTAGCTTCAGGTTAAATACTGGGTTTTCGGTCCTATGACGGTGGTTCACTTCTTACCGGGGTACATCGCCATGGTAACGTCTGCTGAATGGCTAGCCTGCTCCGCAGCAGGTTATGTTGGAGGTTGAGATCACTGGGAATAAAAGCACTGCCCACTGAAAATCAGTTCTCAACTGTAAAACTTCAGAAGGAGCAGAAAACGAAGCAGTTCTCAACAAAATGGCATCACTATTTATAGAAGACCTGCTACACATCGGAGCGTGAATTGTGAGGGGATCACTGAGGAGTGTGAGGGTTTTTCAGGACCAGCAAAACCCCTTGGCACACCCTGATGAGGATCTCTATGAGCTCCTGTCTTCCTTCATTCATTTTTTCCCCTGTTGGCTACAGGCAATGTCAACGCTATTTCAGATTTTTTTCCATACCAACATCACCCCACAACAGTAAACTGACTTTAGCATTAAAGCTTGTCTTTGTAGGATACGTTAATAAGCTACACTGAATCAGAAATGTTAGCAGTCACTTCAAACTTGTGAGAGACTGGGCTGAGGGCCCACAGTCACTTGGGCCCAGGGGCCTGTTCAGTAGTGTAATGGCCATATACTCTGTCTGTGCTTGTTGATGGTTTAATGATTNAAACAACTCCTGTGAAAGCACATCTGTATAAATGTGTTTTAAAGGAGGATAAAGTGCTTGCAGATCTGGTCTCCTCAGGGAGTCTGTTCCAGAGGATGGGGGCTCCTACAGAAAAGGCTCGATCACCTGTGGTCCTCAGCCTCGACTGTGGGACGGTGAGCAGAGCCTTGGCTGAGGACCGCAGGCTACGACCGGGCACATATGGGGAGAGGAGATCAGAAATGTATTGAGGTGCAAGTCCAGAGTGTGCTTTATAGGTTCACAATAAAATCTTCAAATCTATTCTAAAATTAATTGGAAGCCAATGAAGGGAAGCTAAAATAGGAGAAATGTGATCTCTCTTTTTGGATTTGGTGAGGAGTCGGGCTGCTGCGTTTTGGACCATCACTTGATGCTCAATTTAGAATTTTTTAGTGAAATCAGATTTTTTTGCGAGTTCGTTCACATTTCCAATTAAATGCGACTTGTATGTGATCTGCTGTGTGAACTTCATACGACCTAAAAGTGTCCCGCATCCGCAGAAGAGGACAGGAAAAGCATGCTCACTGTGAAATAAACACGGATGGTAACGGTGAAGCGTATCTTGCGATTTTAAAGTTTTTTCAAAAAAAGTAGTTATCCAACCAGAGCACATTTACAACATAATCTCCATGGTTGTGGTGGCATTCTATGACTCCGTTTACAGCCCTACCATTGTGTCAACAGGCTGCGCTTACGCATTACGCTCTTAGCCAGGTGGAAGAAAAAGTAATGCCCACAACCGTGTCATTTGGACAAAAGCTCAATAGTTTAGTTGCTTTCCACTGTGCTCCTGGTAATGATATACATTACCTCAAATGACTGAAGTATCAAAAGTGTCAGTATTTTGATTTAAGAATCGATTTTAGAGCATAAAGGTACTACGAAGCAGGATTTGGGGTTAACGAGGTAACTTCAGGTTAAATACTGGGTTTTCGGTCCTATGACGGTGGTTCACTTCTTACCTAGGTACATCACCATGGTAACGTCTGCTGAACGGCTAACCTGCTCCGCAGCAGGTTATGCTGGAGGTTGAGATCACTGGGAATAAAAGCACTGCTCACTGAAAATCAGTTCTCTACTGTAAAACTTAAGAAGGAGTAGAAAACGAAGCAGTTGTCAACAAAATGGCATCACTGTTTATAGAAGACCCGCTACACATCGGAGCGTGAATTGAGGGGATCACTGAGGAGTGTGAGGGTTTTTCAGGACCAGCAAAACCCCTTATTGCACCCTGATGAGGATCTCTATGAGCTCCTGTCTTCCTTCATTCATTTTTTCCCCTGTTGGCTACAGGCAATGTCAACGCTATTTCATAGTATTTTCCATTCCAATATCACCCCACAGCAGTAAACTGACTTTAGCATTAAAGCTTGTATTTGTAGGATACGTTAATAAGATACACCACTTTGAATTATGTTTTAATGTCAGATATGCCATAAGTATATACATTAGGCAACAAATTAGTTAAAAGGAATCCTCATATGCGCTTATTGTCTGATGCGTGCCTTCATGATGGACCAGTGATCATATTTTATTATATTATAAACTAATGAACTTATGCATTCACACAGTCAGCAGTTTCCTGCCAGCACTCCTTCCTGCCTTTGGCCGCTGCAAAGGTGTTCCTCTTTGCTCCTATGATGTTTTTATATTATTCTTCATATTTTGTAAAGATGATGTTCTGCTCCTTGGCGGCAAAGTGAGCCGCTCTGCAGCCAGACTTGTCCATAGTCGTGATTGGTCAGAGGCCGATAACGCCGCCCATTTTATGTGCACACACTCATACTCAGATCAGAC